CTGGGTGAGGGTTGATTTGTTTTTGGTTGTTTATTTGTAAAACTTTTAAAAATTTTTCAATAAAAAAAAAAACCTTGATGACCCCCCCAAAAGGAAAAAGATGATAAAGTACAGGTAGTCCTCGACTTACAACAATTTGCTTAGTGACTGTTTGAAGTTACAATGGCCCTGAAAAAAGTGCCCCCCAAGCCACAGCCAAACAAGACACCTGCCTGCCCGTCTGGCGGCGCTCTTCCTTCTGTCCGAGATTTTCATTGTTATGAGCATTTCTGTTGAGGATTGGCAACGGGGGTGGGGTGGGGGAATGTTTGGTTTTTATTCCCCCGTCTGCTGGGTGGTTGCAGCAGGTTTTGGTGACTTCCCATGACCCTGGGACAATGTGACCACCATAAATATGAATCAGTTGCCAAGCATCTGAATGTAAATCAAAAGTTCCTGGAGATGCTGCAACATTCCAGCGGATCAGCGCTTCTTCTGGGCTCAGCAGAAGTGTCAGGATCAGTGCTGCTTTCCAGTTGATTGGTGCTTCTTCTGGGCACAGCAAAAGCACCAGGATCAGTGCCGAGCTCCAGCTGGAGCTGGCGCTGATCCTGGCACTTCTGCTGAGCCCTGATAGCCCTGCAGCTCCAGCCATCTCTCTCTCAGGCTTGTGCGGTGCTACCACCAGTTCAGCTCATTCCCCTCCCCTGCTACCACTTTTTTTAGGTACCTGGCAAGTCGCGTACCACCTGCCAGGTGCCAATGTACCACAGGTGGTACCTGTACCACTGATTGAATAGCCCTCCCATAAAGGAGAGCTCCCTGCTTCTCACGGGTGTCCACGGCAGAGTCAAAGAGCTGTGACTATGATCAAAGATTTCCCAAACTCAATCTGCCTCCTTAATCACTGAAACCTTGTTTGTTATTCTGTCCCTGCTCTTTCCCTTCCCTTCCCCCCTTCCCTTCCTTCCCCTTCTCAAGGCTAAGCCCACCTCCCCACACTGGTTTGTTTGAATGCTGGTCCTGGTCGTCAACTTCCTCCCTCAAATTCAGGACACAGAATTGAGTGCAACGTCCTAGTGGGAACTGATCAGCAGCACAAAAAACCGGGAATCGTGGCTTGTGACTGACTTGTGTTTAGCATTCCCCCCCCCCGTGCGATGCTCCTTGGGAGGAGCTCCCCCCTCGTATCCATGTTTTTTTTCTCCTTTAAGACTTTGCTTCTTCTGCCTCTTTCGAAACGGCCTTGCTGGTTTCACCTGACAGCCCCCTTTCCCTCCAGCCTTTTCCCGCACCGATGCACCTGTCTCCCCCTGAGCACCTACAACTGGGCAAAGGGTTGAGTTTCCCAAATCTTCTTCTCTCTCGCCAGTTGAGGGCAACTGCGGCGTCTTCCCCAACAATTACATGAAATGTGGGCAGCCTGTAGATCGTTTTTACCAGTTTTGTCCCTGGTGAACTCTCAAGCTTCCTCTTTCTGCCCTGTGTGCCATGAAGCCCCCCTCCCAGAAGGTGACAGGGGGAAACGGCCCTGAAGAGGAGGGGGTGTCCAGATTCTCCTGTGGACCATGCCCAAACAGCGCCTACAGTGTCCGGCCCAGAGTCCAGGGAGGTCGGCCCCAGAAGGACCGGGCTGGGCTCTGGGGGGTAGGAGGAGGGGAGGCGGGACCCTCTTCCAGCTGGCAGCATCTCATCCTGGATGCACGGAGGGGCTTTGGCTGCTGGGGGGCCCAGAGATGGATAACTCAACAGATAGGTCATACAAAATTACTTTATTCCAGGCATCCTCAAGTCGATGACTCAAAGTTATTGAAGAAGTTCTTCTGAAATGTAGATTGTAATCTGGGCCCATCATGTAGGTAAAAGGATAATAGGTTTCCCCATTCTAACCCTCATGGCTAGGATCCATGGAGAGACAATAGACTGGCAGGTAAACAGGTTATCCTGTAATAAAGCACAAGATCCTCCCAGTGGCCAATTAGAACAGAGATATAACCAGGTAACAACTAAAACTACATTTCCCAGAAGGCCACCCTTAAGGGGACAGCATTTTAACCCTTAAAATGCTACTTGCTCTATAAACAGTTCTTAATTTCTAAGCTAGCTATATACTCTGACCAGATGGCTACATACTGGATCAGCACAAGATGTGTTGCCTTTACAATTGCCTGGCTGAGTGCAAGGATCCCGTGTATGGGAAGGAGGAGGAGGGGAGGGGAGACCCTCTTCCAGCTGGCAGCGTCTCATCCTGGATGCACGGAGGGGCTTTGGCTGCCGGGGGGCTCAGAGACGGGACCTTGCTTGCTCTGGGGCTCCAGTTCCAGGAGAATTTCTCAGCCTTGAGATCTTCCATTCCTGGGGTGTCTCCCAAGCCCCCTCCAGGCACGGTCACGATTCCTCCCGTGAGGTGTGAAAGTGACCGGAAGTGTTGTCTTTACAATTGCCTGGCTGAGTGCAAGGATCCCGTCTACGGGAAGTGTGGTAGGTCCCGCACATTGTCACTTGTGCACTTTGCTCAGTGCAAAGGAACGGCTGTGGGGCGTCTCCTGGGTCCAGACGTGCTCTGGGCACCTGCAGGTTTCTCTGGGGTCTCTCAGGCTCTCCTCCTGTCCATCAAAGGTGGAGCAGATGTTATAAAAGGAAGGTGCCCTGATGTGGAAGCAGAGCTTGGTGTGGTGCAGTGGGTCCCTTCTTCCTGTCAGGTACCCCACCCATGAGACTGATCCTCCCCCTCCCCCACCCACTGTCCCTTGACCTCTTCTCCTCCTGAACCTCCTTTGGGAGAACCCCCCCCCCCAGTTCAGCTGCTGGACACTGTGTTGGAGAAGATGGTCCTTCTGCCAGCCTGGTCAGGACGCCAGAAGTTCCCAGGCAAGGAGGACTTCCAGGAGGCCAGGAGAGGCCAGGTCCACTTTTGGTCCAGCTCATCCTCTGGGCAGACCACAGCTGGTCCAGGCTCAGGTGACAGGACAGTCTATAGCAGTGGTTCTCAACCTGTGGGTCAGGACCCCATTTGGGGTTGAACGACCATTTCACGGGGGTCGCCAAACAACACAGTCCGCCATTTTTCCCCCCTTTTCCTTAGCTGTGCTACTCCCTTTTATTCTATTGGCTTTTGAAAGCCAATAGCATAGACCCTCTTGAATAGAGTCTAATTCTATTGGCTTTCAAAAGCCAATAGGAATTGTCCAGGCTATCTCTGCCCTGCTGAGCCCACCAAAAGTCCCATTCTGCAAACGGTGCTGCACCAGTTGAGTAGTCCTCGACTTACGGCCGGTTGGGGGTCGCGGCCTTAAAAAGGTTGAGAACCACTGGTCTACAGCTTCTTAATCAGAATAGAGCTGTGAAGGGACCTTGGAGGTCTTCTAGTCCAACCCCCTTCTCAACCATCCCAGACAAATGACTGTCTAGTCCAGTGATGGCGAACCTTTTAGAGATTGAGTGCCAAAAACCACCACCACCATCCCTGCTGCCCTGTCTGCCCGCAGGGCCACCCACCACCACCATGGCTCACTGCAGATTGCCCAGGTGGCCCTGCAGCACCATGGTGGCTACGCCCTCCGCCGGCGCCATGCAGCATCATCTGCACGCGATGGGGCACAAGGACAGAATCTTGCCCCGGCTACACAGCTGCCATGTCCTTGGCTGCGCTGTTCTGTGTTCGAGATGCAGAGGGGGGCGACTCTCCTCTGGGGGGCTGCTGGTGAGGAGGGGGCTGTGGGGGGGGGGCAGGGCTGGGGTGACAGCGCATGTGCCCACAGAGAGGGCTCTGAGTACCGCCTCTGGCATACGTGCCATAGGTTCGCCACCACTGGTCTAGTCTCTTCTCAAAAACCTCCAGTGATGGAGTGCCCATGATTTCTGAAGGCAACTTCTGTTCCACTAGTTGATTGTCCTCCTGTTAGGAAGTTTCTCCTTAATTCCAGGTTGCGTCTTTCCTTCATTAGTGCCCATACATTTTTTCTTCGCTTGCTTTCTGGTCCTTTGGAAAATAATTTGACCCTCTCTTCCTTGGAGAAGCCCGTCAAATACTGGAATGTTGTTCTCATGTCACCCCCCCAGTCCTCCGTTTCTCTAGATTGGCTTTATCCAAATCCTGCAACCGTTTTGTATTTGGTATTTTAAGCTTGCCTTGAACTAAATAAAAATATATACATTTTAAAAAAGCCCTTGGTCAACTATACTGCTCCAATCAAGATCACAGAGTCCCCTGTTTATGAGCAGACACAGCCCACCAATCTTATTAAGCACACCACGGCAACTGAGCTCAGACAAAACAGATTCTGTGTAATTGGTGGGATTTACACACGGCAGGCCATTTCTATGGCCCACTATAATTTTTGCAACGTTGTGAACAAGAATGTCTGTATATGGGGCATCGTCAAGGGCAGCCATGTCACAAGGATATATTTTTTTTGAGCCTGATGAGATCTAAGTGATGATGAACTTTATTCACATGAAGGCAGGACAAGAAGCAACGGATGGAAACTAATAAGGAGAGAAGCAACCTGGAAATGGGCACTACCAATCAACCAGAGCTGCCCTGAGTGGAAGGGGAGGCATTTCTCCAGATTGTTTGTAATGCAGGTGACCTCACCCCCCACAAACACACACGCAAACACACACACCACCACCTTTGAGATACCCTGCATCAGTAGGTGGCATTTTGGAATTCATCTTCACATGCAGACTTCTTAGTTACAAAATTTCAAAAACTACACTTTCTTCTTCTTCTTCTTCTTCTTCTTCTTCTTCTTCTTCTTCTTCTTCTTCTTCTTCTTCTTCTTCTTCTTCTTCTTCTTCTTCTTCTTCTTCTTCTTCTTCCTCCTCCTCCATATCCGTTATCAGATGTTGGCAATCATTTGGTGATGATCTGGACTACGGAAACAGGCTGCCGTGTCTACATCTCACCCTTTGTACAAATTCTGCTCTGTTCCAGCTCAGGGTCCATGGTGTGCTTAATAAAATTAGTGGGCTGCATCTGCTCATAAACTGGGAGCTCTGGGTGATCTTGACGGCCCTCTGGATTCCCAGCCCAGCCCTCCGGGGGGAAGGAAAAGGGGCGGTCACAGGTGCCATGGTCTTTGGTCGGGAGAGGAGCGGGAGACAGCTCAGTCGCCCAGCCAGCACCATGAGCTCTGGTGGCAGCCTCCTCCTCCTCCTCCTCCTTCTCTTCTGGAGCGACGTTGCCCTCTCCAACCCTGTGACCATGTACACCGACTACTGTGAGTTCCTCCCTCAAATTCAGGACACAAAATTGAGTGCAACATCCTAGGTGGGAACTGATCAGCAGCACAAAAGACCGGGAATCGTGGCTTCTTTTCAGCCAGAGATTCTACTTCTCCACTGACTCGTGTTTAGCATCCCCCCCCCGTGCGATGCTCCCCCTCCTATCCATGTTTTTTTCCTCCTTTAAGACTTCGCTTCTTCTGCCTCTTTCAAAACAGCCTTGCTGGTTTCACCTGACAGCCCCCTTTCCCTCCAGCCTTTTCCCGCACCGATGCACCTGTCTCCCCCTGAGCACCTACAACTGGGCAAAGGGTTGAGTTTCCCAAATCTTCTTCTTTCTTGCCAGTTGAGGGCAACTGCGGCCTCGTCCCCTACTATGAGAAGCTATGCGGACAGCCTGAATATCGTTTTTTCTACAATGTCGTCTCCAAGAAATGCGAAAGTTATGTTGACTATGGGTGTCCCTTCAGGCGCAACCGCTTCAACACCATGGAGCAATGCGAGCAGTATTGTGCACCAAAGAGTAAGCCCAGCTGCTGGGCAGGGAGGAGACGGGGCTGGGGGTCGGGGGGGAAGGCCTGGTCACCCCTTGGTGCTCCCTTAGGCCATGGGGTGGCAGGGTGAGGGGTGGAGGGTTCTTTGGGTGGGAGGCTCTGTTGAGCCGCTGCGGGAAAAGGCCCAACCCAGCTTCACACTTTTTGTTTTTTGGGGTTCCTGCCCTGGTGGGGTGAGGCTCCCCTCTTTCCCACCCCCCAACTGTCTCTGATGGGGTTTCTCCAGCACCCTTTGTGGGGCTGCATGAAGGGCACTTCCCACAGCCCAGGGGGGGGATTCACTTTCGCAGTCAAGCTGGGCCCCAGCTCAGAAGCCCCCCCACTTTTCCTTCTCCATCAGGGCTGCCCTCCTGAGGCAGGGCTGAATGGGTGGGGGTCCTGTGCAGGCTGGGGGTCAAGCCAGGGGAGCTGTCCAGGTCTTCACCGCTCCTTGGCCTGAACCCCGGGCCCTGCAGGCAGGCAGCGCAGACTCGGAGGCTCCGCTCCAGGAGGGGACGGAAGGGCAGGGGCTCCGTCAGACAGGCAGGCGGGCAGGTCAGGCTTGGGGGGTGATGCAGAGAAGAGTCTGGAATGAATAGGCAAAATGACAGATGTGTTGCGTCTGTTCACATCTAAGCCTAACCCTGAAACAGGCAGGAGGAGGGAAGCAACCTGGGAGGGAGGAGGGGGCTGCATCCCCAGTTCTTCCCCATTTGTGCTGCGCCCAGCAGGAGCTCCTGCCTGCGCCCCCCATTTCCAGGAGTGCCTGCCTGAAAGGAAGCCCCAAATGCCCAAATTCAGTCGAGGGAGGAAAGGGGGAGGGCATGGGGGGAGGGAAGGCTGAGTCCCCTGATGCTGGGACTGCCCTGGGCCCTGCCTTCTGGGTTCCTTCCTTCCTTCCTTCCTTCCTTCCTTCCTTCCTTCCTTCCTTCCTTCATCCCTCCCTCCCTCCCTCCTTTGCACATCTATATTGCTGCCCACCTTATGCCAACCTCCCCCTCCTCCATCCCACAGACTTCTGCCACCTGCCCCCCGGTGAAAGCAATTGCCGTAGCTACCGAGAACGGTGGTTTTTCGACCGCAGGACCAAAAGCTGCAAGAGTTTAAGTTTCAAGGGCTGCACAGGGAACCAAAACAACTTTGAAAGAAAATGGATGTGTGAGCGGCAATGCCTCTAAAGAGGTGGGTGTTTGGAGCTGCAGGGTGGGGGAGTCCTATGCAAAGAAGCAGAGGGTCCTGCAACTGCTCCCCTCAATCCGCCCCTTGGGGGCCGTGTGCAAAGAAGAGGAAGGGGGGAAGGAAAGCCAGCCCCCCCCCAGCACTGCCAAAGAAGCCCTCTTCCTGCTCCCCCCTCAAGATTGTGCTGGGGGATCAGGCCCTTTGGCCATATATACCCCAGGACATATATCCCAGAAGACCCCCTGCTCCACCCCCCAGCTAGAAGGGCTCCCCTCGACCCTAAGCCTGCTCCAGAAGAGCAGGTCAGCTTCCCCCAGGGAAGGGGGGGCTAGTCTGCCCCAAAATGTAGGCACCTAGACTAACTGGGGGGGTCACAAAGGCGGAGGCTGGGTGTCCCCCCCCCAAGAAGCAGCCACTCACAGTGGGGGGGTGCCTCTCTGCCTCTGGGACAGTCCAGCCTAGCAAGGGGGAGGGGCTCTGCAACCCACCTGGAGGGAAGGCGGGGAATCCCCCCTCCTGCAGCCGCCTGTCCCCCCCCATCCCCAGGGAAGACCGTTTCTGAGGCCTCCTTCCCTTTTCCAGGCTCTCCCTAAGGGCTCCGTGGAGGGAAGCTCGGCCTGCTTCTTCGTGCTGAAGAAAGAGGGATGCATCAGGACGAGGCCAGGCGCAGGGAGCCTCCAGGCACCTTTGGAAGGAAGGGAATTCTGGAATAAATTATTGCCCGGAGGAGACGGTGGTCCTGGATTCTGTGCCTGTCGTAGGGGTGTTCCTCGGGATGCGATTCCCAGAAAGGTGGAAAGGCTGCCCCCCCTTCACCACCACAGAGTTTGCCACACCTGTGGGGCACTTTTCTGGTGCCCCCCCCCCGTGCCTCCATAGCAATGGGTGCCCCTCTGGCTGCTCTCTTCCCTCCTTGCCAGGCAGAGAGGGCAGTGTGTGCCAGCCCTACCCACCCAAGCAGCCAGAACAGACAGGGGGGGGTGGCGGTGGGGGGAGGGCTGGGGGGCTTCTCTCCACCCACACACAGGAGCCACCCACCTATTTTGCCCAGTTAATGCTCCCCGTTTCCTACCCAGTGGCTGCATTCTCACACCTCCCTTCAACCGGATCCTGAATCAACCTGTTTTTCTCTGTTCACACCACACACTGCATCATAAACTAGCCAAAGAGCAACAGACAAAGCCACAAAAACGAATCCAGATTAAGAGTCCCCAGATATTGCCAGCTGTGGGATGTGCTGGTCAAGGACCCCTCAATTGTCTAATTAAACTAAGGTGGTGAACAGGATTAAGAAAGCCGGCTCAAAAAAACTTTCTCTGCATTCCAGATCAAGTGGGGGCCATCCTGGGGGTCCTGTGCCTCCATAGTTGTATTAATGGCTTGGAAGGGGGAGGGGGGATGAGTCTCAGAGCCCCAGAGGGCTCCAGCGGTTTCAAAAGGGTTTGGGGGAGGGGCTGCTGGGGGAAGAGGGAGACCTGACTCAGGCCGATTATCAGCAGACAGACAGAACAGGCAAAGACCAAGTGGGGAAAGCAGAGGCTCAGGACGAAGACTTGCAACAGAAATCAAGGATAATTTTAAAAGTTTCTTTTAACATATTAATAACAAGAAAAAAGACAAGCAAACTGTGGGTCCACTAAAGAGCAAAAAGGCAAGGGGATTCAGCCACAGTTTCATCCCTAGTGAACTCTCAAGTTCCTCTTTTCGCCCTGTGTGTCACGAAGCCCCCCCTCCCAGAAGGTGACTGGGGGAAACGGTCCAGATCCTCCTGTGGACCATCCCCAAAAAACGCCTACAGTATCCAGCCCAGAGTCCTGGGAGGTCGGCCCCAGAAGGACCTGGCTGGGCTCTGGGGGGCAGGAGGAGGGGAGGCGGGACCCTCTTCCAGCTGGCAACGTCTCATCCTGGATGCACGGAGGGGCTTTGGCTGCCGGGGGGCTCAGAGACGGGACCTTGCTTGCTCTGGGGCTCCAGTTCCAGGAGAATTTCTCAGCCTTGAGATCTTCCATTCCTGGGGCGTCTCCCAAGCCCCCTCCAGGCACGGTCACGATTCTTCCCGTGAGGTGTGAAAGTGACCGGAAGTGTTGCCTTTCCAATTGCCTGGCTGAGTGCAAGGATCCCGTCTACGGGAAGTGTGGTGGGTCACGCACATTGTCACTTGTGCAGTTTGCTCAGTGCAAAGGAACGGCTGTGCGGCGTCTCCTCGGTCCAGACATGCTCTGGGCACCTGCAGGTTTCTCTGGGGTCTCTCAGGCTCTCCTCCTGTCCATCAAAGGGGGAGCAGATGTAAGAAAAGGAAGGTGCCCCGATGTGGAAGCAGAGCTTGGTGTGGTGCAGAGGGTCCCTTCTTCCTGTCAGGGACCCCACCCCCACTCTGGGGGAGCCATGAGACTCACCCTCCCCCTCCCCCTGTCCCTTGACCTCTTCTCCCCCTGAACCTCCTTTGGGAGAACCCCCCCCCAGTTCAGCTGCTGCTGGACACTGTCTTGGAGAACATGGTCCTCCTGCCAGCCTGGTCAGGAAGCCAGAAGGTCCCAGGCAAGGAGGACTTCCAGGAGGAGGAGAGGTCAGGTCCACTTTTGGTCCAGCTCATCCTCTGGGAAGACCACAGCTGGTGACAGGAGGGTCCACAGCTCCTTAATCAGAATAGAGCTGGAAGGGACAATGGAGGTCTTTTAGCCCAGCCCCTTGCTCAGGCAGGAGACCCTATACCATTTCAGACTGTGGCTGTCCAGTCTCTTCTTAATAATCTCCAGTGATGGAGCAGCCACAACTTCTGAAGAGAAGCCATTCCAGTGGTTAATTGTTCTCCGTATCAGGAAATTTCTCCTTAATTCCAGGTTTCTTATCTCCTTGATTAGTTTCCATCTGTTGCTTCTTGTCCTGCCTTTGAGCTTCGGAGAATAGGTTGACCCCCTCTTCTTTGTGGCAACCCCTGAGATACTGGAAGAGTGCTATCATGTCCCCCTTAGTCCTCCTTTTATCTAGACCGGCCATACCCAATTCCAGCAACCATTTTGTATTTTGTATTTTCACCTCATCTTGAAGCAAATAAAAAAAATATATACATTAAAAAAACCTTGGTCAACTATACTGTTCCAATCAAGATCACGCAGAGCTCAGCTTCCGGTTGTCAGCGACGATGATGGCGGCTACTTTGTAGCCGTCCTCCTGGGACAGCGTCAGATCTGCGGAGCACAGCGAACATCAGCTGGCCCGCAGCTCAAAATCCCCTTCCCGGGCGAAGGGAAGGGGTAGAGACCACACGAATAGAGGTAGAACCTCTTAACCCCCCCCCCGGATTTTCTTTTGGGGTGGTAGAAAGAGTGTTACCTCGGAGTTCGTGCTTTCTCCGCCTCCCAGCTGTTTTTGTTTCTTCGGAAACAAAGCGAAACGCCACTACCATCTCCGCGCATAAAGTTTCCTGGTGAGTGACTTTTAAAGCAGACATAGCTGTTTAAAGGATTTTACTTGGAGGGTAATGTTTTATTTTTCTTTTAGTTGGTGGAAGGGGAGGCATTTCTCCAGATTGCTTGGAACGCAGGTGACCTCACCCCCCCCCCCACCTTTGAGATACCTGCATGAGGAGGTGGCATTTTGGGATCCATGTTCACTTAGATCTCATTAGTCTCAAAAAAAAAAAATCCGTGTGTCATGGCTGCCCTTGAGGATGCCCCACATGCAGACATTCTTGGTCATGAAATTGCAAAAACTACACTGGACCATGGAAACAGGCTGCCATGTCTACATCCCAACCATTCTACAGATTCTGCTCTGTTCCAGCTCAGGGTCCGTGGTATGCTTAATAAAATTAGTGGGCTGCATCTGCTCATAAAGACGGGAAGACTGGGTGATCTTGATGGGAACGCTACAGTTGACCGAGTCATGGATAAACACAAATTTTAATTGTTCAGTCTTGCTTGGGAAGAGAGAATTCCACGCCAACTGAATTTGGGAACTACAATCCGGATCGTTCTGAGGAGGAGAATTAAGCTGAATCTGACAATGAGAAGCAGGAAGGGCTGAGCTCCACAGAGCCCTGGGCTGGTGAGGGTGGGGGGGCCAGCCCATAATATTTTTTTTTGTTTGAGGTTCATCAGAGCATGGGTTGGGGGTCCATGGGGGAGGGGCGCTATCAAGTGGACTGCCAGGCTGTAACTGGAAGTTGTGAAGTGGTCCAGAATCCCACCATATCTGACCCAGATAATAATAATAATAATAATAATAATAATAATAATAATAATAATAATAATAATAATAATAATAATAGTAAAGTTGGAAGGGACCTTGGAGGTCATCTAGTCCAACCCCCTGCTCGGGCAGGAAACACTACACCATTTCGGACAAATGGCTGTCCAGTCTCTTCTTAAAAACTTCCAGTGTTGGAGCATTTACTGCTTCTGGAGGCAAGCTGGTCCACTGATTAATTGGTCTCACTGTCAGGAAGTTTCTCCTTAGTTCTAGGTTGCTTCTCTCCTTGATTAGTTTCCACCCGTTGCTTCTTGTCCTGCCTTCAGGTGCTTTGGAAAATAGCTTAATTCCCTCTTCTTTATGGCAGCCCCTGAGATATTGGAATACTGCTATCATGTCCCCCCTTATCCTTCTTGATCTTCCATCTTGCTCACCACACATCTGGGCGTCTTCCCATTGCAGCCTCTGATGCCTCCTTGGGAGGTAAGACTGTCCACTGGACCCATGAGTTGGGGGTGGAGTGGGGACAAATGGGATATGTGTGAGAGTGGGGGACTTTGGGAGATGTGATGGATACCGATATACAGTGGGTTGATTTCATTCTGGATGTTTTTGTTGTTATTCTATCTCTCACTGTTAAAATAAACCTACCATTAAAATAATAGACTGATCATTTCTTTGTCAGTGGGCAAGCGTACAAAATCAGCAGGGGATCAAATAATTCTCCCCACCACCACCACCACTGTAAGTAGGAGATTCCTTGGAACATCTCTGGATAAGGAGAAAACAGGAGATTGCCCACAAGTGCTCCGGACAGCTGCTCCTCAGGAGATAACAGGAGGGAGGATTTCAATGGCTTTGAGAGGTTTTGCCATCTTGCTTACTTTTGTGGCAGGGACTTTTAAAGGACGCCCAGTTTGTAAGTCACTTTCTAATCTCCCACCAACGAGTCCGGGGGTCTACACAAGGCTCCTTCCACGCCTGGAAGCTGAGAGACGCTGGTCCTTCTGCCCTATCCGGGCTGGAGGGATATATGGGGTCACCCCCCACCCCCACCTTGTGAAGCGTCGCTCACTCCCCCTGCCCCTAAGCCCAGCTCCTGCTGCCGTTTCCCCACCGGACCCCAGGGCGCCGAAACGTTTCCGGCGGGAGTCCTTCGGAGGGGCGGGGCGGGGCAGGGCAGGGGATGTCCAGCTGGCCCTCCGGAGGGGAGGGAAGGGGGGGTCAGAGGCTCAGCGCTTTTTACCCGAGAGAGGAATGGGAGGCGGCTTAGTCGCCCAGCCAGCACCATGAGGTCCGGTGGCAGCCTCCTCTTCCTCTTCTGGGGTGCCTTTCTCATCTGGAGCCCTCTGCTCTCCGTGTCCAGACTGTGTGAGTGAGGCGAGAGCCAGGGTGGGGGGAGGGCGGGATCCTCGCCCAGAGGGGTCTTTGGACTGGAAAGCCCCCACCCGTCTGAACCCCCTCCAGCTGGAGCCTCGGGGTTGTGCCCCAGAAGCCCAAGAACCCGCCATTGCACAGTATTGTGCACTCCCTCCGGGACCCCCGTTCCAGTCCCTGGAGCGGGAATAATGGGGCAGGCGCGACTCTTTCGAAGGGGGTCGTGGGAAGGGGCGAGCGGAAGGGGAAAGTCCAGAATCGGCTCCTCGGGCAGAATCCCGGAGAGGGGAGACCGGCCCGGGGAAGAAGAAGATGTCGATGAACAGGGGGGTCCGGTCCCGGCCTTCCCCCCACCCTCCCCAGGGATCGCAGCAGCTCCGAGGTTATTTTAATGTTATATTCATTTATTTATTAAATTGCTCTGCCGCCCGTCTCCCCTACAAGGAGACTTTGGGCGGCTTAGAGAGTATAAAACCAAGTGAAAAACAATTAAATAATAACAACAACAACAACAACAACAATATAATCAACGTTATTATTAGCAATAACATTATACTAACATTAACACCCAGAAACAGAGCAGGAAATTACCAGGCTTGATACAAATCTTATTGAAATTGAAGCTCCCAACCCAAATCTGCCCCTTTCTCCTTGCTTTTGATTGATTGATTGATTGATTGATTGATTGATTGATTGATTGATTGATTTCTGAGTAATTCTTCCCCCGGCTTTTTTTTAAACACACACACAAATACACATTTACGGCTATTTTTTTCCTGCATAAACCTCACCCTCAGTGCTCCCCCCCACAAAAAAAACAAACCAGGATGGGAGGTTTTTCTTCCCAAAGGGCTTTTGGTCTCGTTTCCTCTCTGTGGAAAGGAAGCAAAGGGGAAATTCCACACACCCCTCTCAGCCCCAAGAGAGGAAGGATGGAGGGAGCCAGGAAAGCCCAGCCTGTCAAAGGATCGGGGAGGGGGGGGCATGACAGTTATGTACTGGAAGAAAAGGGGGGGTCTCACCTCTTCTCCAAAGAACCAGATGGAAGGGATGGAAAGTGGCCAAAGAGAGAAGCAACCGGGAATTAAGGAGAAAGTACTTGGCAGTGAGGACAATCAACCAGTGGAACAGCTTGCCACCAGAAATCGTGGGTGCTCCATCACCGGAGATATTTAAGAAGGGGCTAGATAGTCACCTGTCTGGAATGGGAGAGGGTCTCCTGCTTGTACAGAGGGTTGGACTAGAAGACCTTGAAGGTCCCTTCCAGCCCGAGGAGTCTGGTGTGATATTTGCCGTTGCTTCAGGGCTTCTGGGTCATTGACTCTCAGTTCAAATATAACCATCTTAACAAAAGACAAAACAAACAAAAAATCCGCCCAGGATTTAGAGGGATCCTCCTTGTGTCAAAAGAGCCCCCCAAAGCCCCCAGGGTCTCTTTCCTCGGCCAGTTTTAAGACATGGGGACTGCAACTCCCAGAATTCCCCAGCCTGTATTTGGTGGCTGCTCTATACCCACCCACCTCTCCTTGGGCACCTACAACTGAGCAAAGTTTTGAGTTTCCCAGTTGTGGGATTCCTTGTCCAGGAGATGTATCTCCTTCGCGGGCTGCCCTGTCTCCTCACAGATCGCTAAACACAATAAGCTCTTTTGTCCACACAATCTTCTCTCCTGCCAGTCTACGGCAGCTGCAAAACCATCCCAAACCTAATGGAACGATGCGGGAAGCTTGAGGAACGTTTTTTCTACAACGCCACCTCCAAGATGTGTGAGCCTTTCGTTTACTACGGGTGCCTCAAGAACCGGAACCGCTTCTACACCCTGGAGACATGTCAGCAATTCTGCGGATTGGTTGGTGAGCCCAGCTGCTGGGCAGGGAATAGCTGGGGCTGGGGTTCTGTGGGGGGGGGAGGCCCAGTCACCCCTCGGCGCTCCCTTGGGCCACGGGGGTAGCGGTCTTTGAGAGGGAGGGTCTGCTGAGCCCCTGTGGGAAAAGGCCCAACCCAGCTTTGCACCCTTTCTTCTAAGCTTCTTTGGGGGTGCTGCCCCTGCATGACCCAGCCCACCCTTGTCCTGGTCTCACTTCAGGATCCAGTACGGGGTGGGGGAGGCTCCCCTCTTTCCTGCTCCTCAACTGCCTCTGATGGGGTTGCTCCAGCACCCTTTGTGGGGCTGCATGAGGGGCACTTCCCACAGCCCGGGGGGGGATTCTCTTTCACAGTCAAGCTGAGCCCCAGCTGAGAAGCCCCCCCCCAATTTTCTTCACCCATTGGGGCTAGGTAGGGGTCCTGTACAGGCCGGGGGTCAAGCCAGGGGAGCCGTCCAGGTCCTTGGCCTGAACCCCGGGCCCTGCAGACAGGCAGCGCAGACTCGGAGGCTCCGCTCCATGAGGGGACGGAAGGGCAGGGGCTCCGTCAGACAGGCAGGCGGGCAAGTCAGGCTTGGGGGGGGGGAAGATTCCAGAATGAATAGGCAAAATGACAGATGTGTTGCCTCTGTTCACATCTAAGCCTAACCCTGAAACAGGCAGGAGGAGGGAAGCAACCTGGGAGGGAGGAGGGGGCTGCATCCCCAGTTCTTCCCCATTTGTGCTGCGCCCAGCAGGAGCTCCTGCCTGCGCCCCCCCCCCATTTCCAGGCGTGCCTGCCTGAAAGGAAATGCCCAAATACAGCCGAGGGAGGAAAGGGGGAGGGCATGGGGGGAGGGAAGGCTGAGTCCCTTGATTGGGGGGGGCTGCCCTGAGCTCAGCCTTCTGGGTCCTTTCCTTCCTTCCTGATGCCAACCTCCATCCCCTCCCTCCACCCTGCAGACTATTGCCAGCTGCCTCCTGACCCTGGCTTTTGCAAGTATCAACTACAACGCTGGTTTTACAACCCAGAAACCAGACAGTGCAAGACTTTCATCTACCAGGGCTGCGGAGGGAACTACAACAACTTCAAGAAACGTTTGACGTGCCAGCGGAAGTGCCCCAAGAAAGGTGGGTGTGTGGTGCTATGGGGGGGGGCTGAAGGGTGGGGGGCAGAAGGTCCTGCAACTGCTCCCCTCAATCCGCCCCTTGGGGGCCGTGTGCAAAGAAGAGGAAGGGAGGAAGGAGAGCCCACCCCCCCCAGCACTGCCAAAGAAGCCCTCTTCCTGCCCCCCCCCCAAGATGGTGCTGGGGGGTCTGGCCCTCTGGCCGAGAAAGAGAACCCTGCACCCTCTTGGAACGCTGTCAATCATCAACACTGTCAATTCACAGATTTTCTGGAGGGAAATTTAAACTAAACAGCGGGGACAGGGAGTTAATTGATACGGAACAACCCTGTCCCCGGCAATTTAAAAACTATAGGGCTATCAGTGCATGTAGCATAGATGTGTGTGTGGACAAGAATACCAACCTTGCTATCAAGCAAAATGAAGCCTCTAATAGCGAGTGCCACATAAAGTGCACTAACCAAATAGGTGGTAAGACAATAGGGGAACTCAGGCACCACACAGGTTATGTAGAAAGGAAACACAGGGCCACCCACAAAGGACTCAAATGTTTATACACCAATGCACAGAGTATGAACAGCAAACAGGGTGAACTAGAAATTCAGGTTAATGAGGGCAGATACGATATTGTTGCCATTACGGAAACATGGTGGGATGAAACTCACACATGGAACACACAGCTAGAGGGATTTAAATTATTTAAAAGAAACAGACCAAATAAAAGAGGAGGTGGAGTTGCTCTCTATATAAGAAATAACTACATCTCCACAGAAATAGAGTACAACAATGATAAAAACTGTCTTGAATGCATTTGGGTCAATATAAAAGGGGGGGGAAATGACATTGCCATAGGTGTATACTACAGACCACCCAACCAAACAGAGGAAATAGATGAACTTTTGCTAGTCAGCTAACTAAGGTATGTAGGAAGCACATCACAATAGTAATGGGGGACTTTAACTACCCTGACATCAACTGGGAGACAAACTCCGCACCAAGTGGAAGATCAAACAGGTTCCTGGCAAACCTAGCAGACAACTTTGTCTCCCAAAAAGTAGAGAAGGGAACTAGGGGATTAGCCATTTTGGATCTAATTCTCACTAACAGAGATGAAATGATAGACGGTGTTGAAGCCATAGGAACCCTGGGAGGAAGTGATCATGCAATATTAGAATTCAACATTATAGAAGCACAAGCAATAGAACACAGTCAAACTAGAGTCTTGGACTTCAAGAGAGCTAATTTCAATAAACTTAGAGAGGGCTTGGGAAGGATTCCATGGATGAGAATCCTCAAGGGGAAAACAACTCAAGAAGCTTGGGAAATTTTGAAAAATGAGATAATAAAAGCACAGTCTAGCACAATACCAACAAAGAGGAAAAATAACAGCTCTCAAAAGAAACCAGCATGGCTGCATAAAGAACTCTCTGACAAATTGAAAGATAAAAAGGACAAGTATAGAAAGTGGAAAGAGGGGAACATAACTAAGTCAGAATATCAGCAAATAGCCCGAGCCTGCAAAGATGAAGTGAAGAAAGCCAAGGCTCAAAATGAACTAAGGCTTGCGACCAAAGTCAAAAATAACAAAAAAAGCTTCTTTCAACATGTAAAAAACAAGAAAAAAGTGAAGGAAATGATTGGTCCATTAGTGGGTGGAAGTGGCAAGAAGGTGACAAGCAACAGGGAGAAAGCAGAACTATTTAACTCATTTTTTGCATCTGTCTTTACACAAAGGGAAAAAACAGACCAACCTATCAAAAATAGTGCCATAAAAAACAAAACAGAAACACAAGTTAAGATAGGCAAGAAAATGGTTAGTGAGCACCTGTCCAGCCTAGATGAGTTCAAATCGCCAGGACCAGATGGATTACACCCCAGAGTTCTCAAGGAACTGGCAGATGTGATATCGGAGCCACTGAACTATATTTTTCAAAGATCCTGGAACACGGGGGAACTACCAGAGGACTGGAAAAGAGCTGATGTAGTTCCCATCCTCAAAAAAGGAAAAAAAATGGATCCAGGAAATTACAGACCTATCAGCCTGACCTCAATACCTGGGAAGATCCTGGAAAAGATAATCAAACAACGAATCAACGAACACCTAGAGGCAAACAAAGTCATTACTAAAAGCCAACATGGGTTTGTCAAAAATAGATCATGCCAGACAAATCTTATTGCATTCTTTGACCAAGTGACAAAATTAGTGGATCAGAGGAATGCTGTGGACATAATTTACTTGGACTTCAGTAAGGCATTTGATAAAGTAGATCACAACCTACTACTTGACAAGATAGAAAAATGTGGGGTAGACAGAACCACCACCAGATGGATCCGGAGCTGGCTGACCGGCCGTACTCAGCGAGTGGTCCTCAATGGAACTGCATCTATATGGAGGGAAGTGTGTAGTGGGGTGCCCCAGGGCTCTGTTCTGGGCCCAGTACTCTTCAACATCTTCATCAACGATTTGGATGAAGGGATAGATGGGGAACTCATCAAATTTGCAGATGACACCAAGCTGGCAGGAATAGCCAACACTCCAGAAGACAGGCTTAGATACAGAAGGATCTGGACAGACTTGAACACTGGGCACTAACTAACAAAATGAAATTCAATGGTGAAAAAAGCAAGGTTCTACATTTAGGCAAGAAAAACCAAATGCACAAGTACAGCATAGGTGGCACCATGCTCAACAGTAGCAACTGTGAGAGGGACTTCGGTGTCCTAGTGGGCAATCACTTAAATAGGAGCCAGCCGTGTGCTGCAGCTGCCAAAAAAGCCAACACAGTGCTAGGCTGCATTAACAGAGGGATAGAATCAAGATCACGTGAAGTATTAATATCACTCTTCAATGCCTTGGTAAGGCCACACTTGGAATACTGCATCCAGTTTTGGTCACCACGATGTAAAAAAAGATGTTGAGACTCTAGAAAGAGTACAGAGAAGAGCAACAAAGATGATTAGGGGACTGGAGGCTAAAACATATAAGGAACGGTTGCTAGAATTGGGTATGTCTAGTTTAACGAAGAGAAGGACAAGGGGGGACATGATAGCAGTATTCCAATATCTCAGGGGCTGCCATAAAGAAGAGGGAATTAAGCTATTTTCCAAAGCACCTGAAGGCAGGACAAGAAGCAACGGGTGGAAACTAATCAAGGAGAGAAGCAACCTAGAACTAAGGAGAAACTTCCTGACAGTGAGAACAATTAATCAGTGGAACAGCTTGCCTCCAGAAGCAGTAAATGCTCCAACACTGGAAGTTTTTAAAAAGAGACTGGACAGCCATTTGTCCGAAATGGTGTAGAGTTTCCTGCCCGAGCAGGGGGTTGGACTAGATGACCTCCAAGGTCCCTTCCAACTTTACTACTATTATTATTATCTATTGCAGGAGACCCCCTTCTCCACACACACCCCGTCTGGTGGGCTCCCCTCGCCCCTAAGCCTGCTCCAGAAGAGCAGGTCAGCTTCCCCCAAGGAAGGGGGGCTGGCCTGCCCCCAAATGTGGGCATCTAGACTAACTGGGGGGGTCACGAAGATGGAGGCTGGGTGTGTCCCCCTGGAGAGAAGCAGCCCCTCACAATGGGGGAGGGGTGCCTCTCTGCCTCTCGGACAGGCCAGCCTAGCAAAGGGGGGAATCCCCCCTCCTGCAGCCGCCTGTCCCCCCCCCCATCCCCAGGGAAGACCGTTTCTGAGGCCTCCTTCCCTTTTCCAGGCTCTCCCTAAGGGCTCCGTGGAGAGAAGCTCGGCCTGCTTCTTTGTGCTGAAGAAAGAGGGATGCATCAGGACGAGGCCAGGCGCAGGGAGCCTCCAGGCGCCTTTGGAAGGAAGGGAATTCTGGAATAAATTATTGCCCGGAGGAGACGGTGGTCCTGGATTCTGTGCCTGTCGCAGGGGTGTTGCTCGGGATGCGATTCCCAGAAGGGCACAAAGGCTGCCCCCCCCTTCACCACCACAGAGTTTGCCACACCTGTGGGGCACTTTTCTGGTGCCCCCCCCCCCGTGCCTCCATAGCAATGGGTGCCCCTCTGGCTGCTCTCTTCCCTCCTTGCCAGGCAGAGAGGGCAGCGTGTGCCAGCCCTACCCACCCAAGGAGCCAGCACAGACATGGGGAGAGGGCTGGGGGGGCCTCTCTCCCTCCCCACACAGGAGCCGCCCACCTATTTTGCCCAGTTAATGCTCCCTGTTTCCTACCCAGTGGCTGCATTCTCACACCTCCCTTCAACCGTATCCTGAATCAACCTGTTTTTCTCTGTTCACACCACACACTGCATCATAAACTAGCCAACGAGCAACACACAAAGCCACAAAAACGAATCCAGATTAAGAGTCTCCAGATTTTGCCAGCTGTGGGACGTGCTGGCCGAGGACCCCCCAATCGTCTAATTAAATGAGGGTGGTGAAAAGGATTAAGAAAGCCGGCTCAAAAAAACTTTCTCTGCGGTTCCAGATCAAGTGGGGGCCATCTTGGGGGTCCCGTGCCTCCATAGTTGTATTAGTGGCTCAGAAGGGGTGGGGTGGAACGAGGCACAGAGGCACAGATGGCACCAGGAGGACCCTGCAGAATTTGAAAAGCATTTGGGGGAAGGGCTGCCGGGGGTGGTCAGAATTCAGCCCACCCCCATCCAGACCCCTTCCTCTAAAGGAGCCTCTAAACAGGGTGGCTACCTTAAGAGTGGTGTTAACGTTAAACAATGGACTTCATAAAACATTTTTGGCAAGTTTGTGCTGAAGCATGGGAAGAGGTCTGAATAAAACAGAGCTGGAAGGGACCTTGGAGGTCTTCTAGTCCAACCCGCTCCTTAGCTGGAGACCTTATATACCATTTAAGACAAGTAGCTGTACAGTCTCTTCTTCAAACCCTCCAGGGATGGAGCAACCACATCTGGTGGCACGTCGTTTATTTATTTATTTATTAATAAAATTTATATGCCGCCCAATCCCTAGGGACTCAGGGCGGCATACAAAATTAAAACAATAAATATAACAATAAAACAATAAAATAAGTGCATTCATACAGCATGTCCCAATCGTATCCCGGCCCCCCTGGGGACATCAACCCCAGGCCTGCCGGAACAGGAGAGTTTTAATGGCTTTCTTAAAGGCCGGCAAGGTGGGAGTAGTTCGAATCTCGGGGGGAAGTTGATTCCACCAGGTCGGAGCCACCACAGAAAAGGCCCTTCCCCGAGGGCCCGCCAGCCGACATTGTCTGGCTGACGGGACCCGAAGGAGGCCCAATCTGTGGGATCTCACCGGTCTCTGGGAACTATGCGGCAGTATGCGGTCCTGTAAGTAACTTGGTCCTAAGCCATAAAGGGCTTTAAAGGTGATAACCAATACCTTGAATTGTGTCCGGAGACCCACAGGAAGCCAGTGCAGCTCACGGAGGATAGGTGACACGTGGGTGTACCTTGGTGCACCCACAATCGCTCTCATGGCTGCATTCTGAACCAACTGCAGCCTCCGAACGCTCTTCAAGGGTAGCCCCACTGGTTTAATTTTTCTCACTGTTAGGAAAAACCAAAAGCAGAAGTACAGGTTGGGCCAGACCTGGCTCAAAAACAGACATGCTGAGAGGAACCTTGGAGTCCTAGTGGACGATCAAGGTCTGTGGGGATTCTCCGTCATGCAGGTCCTGGTTGTCCCAAAGGGGCTTTTCCAAGAGGCAACTGGACTTCCTTCTTTTTCTTTGAAGACGTTTCGCTTCTCATCCAAGAAGCTTCTTCAGCTCTGACTGGATGGTGGAGAAGGGAAGGGTTTATATTCCCAGTGGACAATCATTTAAACATTATTCAGCAGTGTCCGGCAGCAGGCAAAGAAGCTAGTACAATCTTTGTTGCATGAACAGAGGCACAGAATCAAAATTTTGTTAAGTATTAGTACATCTTTACAAAGCCTTAGTAAGACCATACCTGCATCCATTACAAAAAAGATGTTGAGACTTTGGAAAAAGTGCAAAGAACATCAACGAAGATGATTAAAGGCCTGGAGACTAAAACATATAAAGAAGAGCTGCAGGAATTGGGTATGGCCTATCTAGAGATTAGATTAGACTAACTAGACTAGGATTAGAATAGAGTAGAGTAGAGTAGAGTAGAGTAGAGTAGAGTAGAGTAGAGTAGAGTAGAGCAGAGCAGAGCAGAGCAGAGCAGAGCAGAGCAGAGTAGAGTAGAGTAGAGTAGAGTAGAGTAGAGTAGAGTAGAGTAGAGTAGGGTAGGGTAGAATAGAACAGAACAGAACAGAATAGAATAGAAGCTGGAAGGGACCTTGGAGGTCTTCTAGTCCAGCCCCCCCACTCAAGCAGGAGAACCTATACTGTCTCAGACAAGTGACTGTCCAGTCTCTTCTTAAAAGCCTCCAGTGATTGAGTGCCCGTGATTTCTAGTGTCCAGCTAGACTGCTTAATTGTCCTCGCTGTCAGGCAGTTTCTCCTTAATTCCAGGTTGCTTCTCTCTTTGGTCAGTTTCCATCCATTGCTTCTTCTCCTTCCCTCTGGTGCTATGGAAAATAATTTGACCTCCTCTTCTTTGTGGCAGTCCCTCAAATACTGGACCACTGCAATCGTGTCTCCCCTGTTTCTTCTTTTCTCTAGACTAGCCAAACCCAACTCCTGCAGCCGTTCGTCCTATGTTTTAGTCTCCAGGCCTTTAATCCTCTTAGTTGCTCTTCTCTGAAAGAAGGACTGGGGGGGGGACATGATAACAGTATTCCAATATTTGAGAGGCTGCTACAAGGAGGAGAGGGTCAATTTATTTTCCAAAGCACCAGGAGATAAGAGAAGAAGATGGAAACCAAGCATGGATAGAAGCAACCTGGAATCTCTATCTATCTATCTCTATCATCTGTCTGTCTGTCTGTCTGTCTATCTATCTATCTATTATCTATCTATCATTTATCTATCTCTAATCTATCTGTCTATCTATCTATCATCTATCTATCATCAATTTATCTATCTCTATATAGAGATAGATAGATAGATAGGTAGGTAGGTAGGTAGGTAGGTAGGCAGGCAGGCAGGCAGGCAGGCAGGCAGGCAGGCAGGCAGGCAGACAGTTTCCTAGACATAGACCTCTGTATATGTGTGTATACATACAGTATATACTGTATACATATATATGTTTTCTGAGGTTTTCGCGGGTGTTTGTATGTAGGTCTTTGGTTGTTTGGGTTTTCTCCCGCGTAAAATTGGAAGTGTCTTGGCGACGTTTCGACGAAGTCCCATTCGTCATCTTCAGGCTGGTGTTTTCAGCTTCAGCTTCGTGCTTCGAAGCACGAAGCTGAAAACACCAGCCTGAAGATGACGAATGGGACTTCGTCGAAACGTCGCCAAGACACTTCCAATTTTACGCGGGAGAAAACCCAAACAACCAAAGACCTACATACATATATATGTATATATACGTATATACATAAATATAAATCCCTGTCCATTGTAAACATATAGCAGGAAGAGGAAGCTTAAGAGTTCACCAGGTTGATGCTCTGTGGAAGAAAACTGTGGCTGAATCCAGATGTTTTGCTATCAGCTGCCATGAACCCCCCCCCCCGAAGGTGACGGGGAAACCGGCCCTGAAGAGGAGGGGAGCGTCCAGACCCTCCTGCAGACCCTGCCCAAACAACGCCTACAGTGTCCGGCCCAGAGTCCCGGGAGGTCGGCCCCAGAAGGACCTGGCTGGGCTCTGGGGGGTAGGAGGAGGGGAGGCGGGACCCTCTTCCAGCTGGCAGCGTCTCATCCTGGATGCACGGAGGGGCTTTGGCCTCTGGAGGGCCCAGAGACGGGACCTTGCTTGCTCTGGGGCTCCAGTTCCAGGAGAATTTCTCAGCCTTGAGATCTTCCATTCCTGGGGCGTCTCCCAAGCCCCTTCCAGGCAGGGTCACGATTCCTCCCGTGAGGTGTGAAAGTGACCGGAAGTGTTGCCTTTACAATTGCCTGGCTGAGTGCAAGGATCCCATCTACGGGAAGTGTGGTGGCTCCCGCACATTGTCACTTGTGCAGTTTGCTCAGTGCAAAGGAACGGCTGTGGGGCGTCTCCTGGGTCCAGACGTGCTCTGGGCACCTGCAGGTTTCTCTGGGGTCTCTCAGGCTCTCCTCCTGTCCATCAAAGGGGGAGCAGATGTAAGAAAAGGAAGGTGCCCCGATGTGGAAGCAGAGCTTGGTGTGGTGCAGAGGGTCCCTTCTTCCTGTCAGGTACCCCACCCATGAGACTGATCCTCCCCCTCCCCCACCCACTGTCCCTTGACCTCTTCTCCTCCTGAACCTCCTTTGGGAGAAACCCCCCCCCCAGTTCAGCTGCTGGGCAGTGTGTTGAAGAAGACGGTCTTCATGTCAGCCTGGTCAGGACGCCAGAAGGTCCCAGGCAAGGAGGACTTCCAGGAGGAGGAGAGGCTGGGCCAGGACTCCTTGCCCACTTTGTTCCAGCTCATCCTCTGGGCAGACCAGAACTGAAATGTCCATAGCTTCTTAATCAGAAGAGAGCTGGAAGGGACCTTGGAGGTCTTCTAGTCCAGAGACCTCCAACCTTTTGGGCACCAGGGACCGGTTCTGTGGAGAGAGGTTTTCCGCAGACCACAGGGTGCGTGGTTTTGTGTGCTGCCTGCATCCTGCAAATGGGGCTTCGCTTGTTTGTGCGGACTGGTTGCTGGCATGCCGTGGCCTGGTACTGGTCCACGGACAGGGGGTTGGGATTTCTCTTCTTGTCCAACCCCTGCTCAAGCAGGAGACCCTAAACCATTTCAGACTGTGGCTGTCCAGTCTCTTCTTAATAATCTCCAGTGATGGAGCAGCCACAACTTCTGAAGAGAAGCCATTCCAGTGGTTAATTGTTCTCACTGT